CATGTGATACTTTTTGCTAATGCTGTATGACAACTGCAAAAACCTGCATTCATGCATAAACAAACGGGGCATTTAACCTTAGGGTTAGTAATTTTTGTGAAAGTAATACTTGATATTAGCTTTAATCTTTAGGAAAATAGAGATAGCACTTATTTATTTCCGGTGTAAGCCTTGCTTATATTTACCAAATAAAAACGAGTTCATGGTTTTTTAAATATTTAAAGTTGTCACGGAGTTTGCAAATTTAAGATTTAATTTAATAATTTTTTGTGGTTCTTGTTGCAGTGGCAGATGCTGTCGGTAGTAAATAAATTGCGCTTTTATCATAAAACTATCTTTATTGTTACATTTTTGATGCACTTGGATAATAATAAATCAAACATTCTAAGCCAGCAGATTCATCAGGGTATTATGAATTGTTCTTCAGCAGTTAGAACCTGACAATGATTTGCAAGAGGTGCGTAACTGAGTGTGATGTGTTAAAATGACTTTTTAGGGTTGTGAAATTTACCAATGAGGGCTAATTATTATGGACTGTTCTGACACTTAGGTCTGAGATAGCATAAGTTGTGGAAATGCTCAATTTTTTTCCTGGTTAGTGTAACATTATCGACATTATCGGATGAATTAACAGGGTCGCAATTCAACAAAGCGACATCTGCAGAAGGCTCTAGGTGAGACATGACAACCCCTCATTTAAATGACTTCAATTAAATTTAACCACCCTGACACAATCTTAAAGATTTACATTGTCGCATTTTTTTAGAAAATCTGGGCGTTAATATCGTGATGTCATGAACACAAGTTAAAATTCTAAATTTCGTAGTTTGTTAGTCTAGGCTCTCAGAAAATTGCTTTTTGTTCACTTGATAAATCCCTAGATCTGAATCACTGTAATAAACCTGAGGAAGTTTTTTTTAAGGGAGATTTTAACTGGACATTTTCCTTTTTTAAGAGCTGATAGCAATCCCAAATTTGGGTGCATCTCACTTTGCTTAACTTATTTGAGCCCAGTTCCACTGCAAACGGCGAATCCCTATGCAGTGCCGCAATTCTTAGCAGATTAGTTTGAAATCGGCTCTGAGACCAACATCAATGTCCGAAGTATTTAAAATTCGACGAGGTCAAAGGCCTAGGGCACTAATCTACACGAAACTAACACGTGAAATTAAAAAGACACCTATACATGCTTTAAATTAGATAAATATGCGCAAAAATTATTTTTAACTTTGTTAGTCAGATTCATGACTGCCAGGCAGAGTCACTTTAAAAATTAGCATAAATAGAGCAAATAAAAATAAAAAAGCAAACAAATTAAATAAGAAACACAAAGCCAAAATTTAGTAAGTCAGACAAATTTGCTTTATAAAATAAAATAAAAAGCCGAAAAATTAAATGCTGCAAATATTTGAGCAAATTCATTTCGTAAATAAAAAGCCGAAAGCCAAAAACTCGAGCAAATTCATGTTAAAAATTAAAATAAAAAGCCAAGTATTTTTATAAACAACTTGAAAACGTATCTTAAAATTATACATTAATGCAAACCATTAATCGGGTGTAATGTTATAGGATGAATTATTGCTGATGGAAAGTAAGCAGTTGCTGATAGAAAACCACCAGCGTTTTTTCCTAATTGCTTAGCTAAGTGCTCCTAATGAACATCGTGCCCCATGGTAACCGCTATTAAATTGACGATTTTTTTCTCAAATCAATCCGCAATCATTTCTACTTTTATTCCATTTTAGCTTCACTAAAATGCTTTCAGGATTCTGGAGAAGTCTAGGCACGTCTTTAATTTGATAAAGAGGCGTGGTATTAATAATTGTCTTCTTATATTGGAAATTGGGGAATCATGTTCTTAATTTTGACAAGGTTTTAATGGCTGTACACGAGTCAATATAAGTAATTTTGAATGATGCATTTTTTTCACTACTTTTTTAATTTTTTTTTGCAAAGGAACTGGTGTTTGGCAGCTTAAACTGCAGCGCCACTAAATAGGTACATCTACCTTTCCTTTAAGAATCCTAGACACAATAAAATAAATCTTTCGCCTCGCATATATTATATTTACTTAATTTAATTCAGTAGTATCAATTAATGGTAAAAACGTCTTCGGGCTTATTGACGCAGTCTGGATGCTAGATAGACCTTACAGATTCGATTTGCTGAAATAAGAATGCATCTGTGTTATTTTATTAAAGTAAATACCTTGCACAATTTTTTTACTCGATGTTCGAATGAACTTCATACGTTTATCATCAGTTTTATATAAAATTGAAGCATTTACTTAGCTTTTATAATGAACGGAGCGTGGGTTTACTCGGAATCAAGTTAATTATCATAATGAAAGAATTCAAATGTGATTTTTACTTCAAAAAATTAAATTTCCTGGATTATTTTGTTAGTAATGTTATTGAGCAATACCATCTGAAATTTGAAAAAAGCGCTCATTTAAATTGCATAAGTTTTGCGCTTAAATGTTGTTTGACTGAAGTATATCATCCAGGAATGATGAACAGATTAATCAAATTATGAGGCGAAAGTCACCATTATTCATTGGCTTTGCGAAGTTTTAATAAATTAAGGGCGTAGTTTAACTCTGTTTACTATTGGTCATTGATGTAAGCCAACATTGTTTATATCTGCTCTGTGAGAGGTTACACAGTCGAGATAACGTGCATACACAAGAACAAAGGCGTGGAACTAATGTGCGCACAGTAAACATTTATATCCTTCAGATTCTGTGTTGTAAGTGTCAGTCATTGTCCGGTAGTGGTGAAAGTCAGTTGACTCACGAAATGAGAAATTAGGAAGCTATCTACCAATTCGAGCTATCATTTTGGCACCGTTTTAACACGGCGGCAGGTCGGCAGGTAAGCGGACTAATTGTAGTCTGGGCTCTTGTGAAAATTTCAACCACATGCAAACACACACAATGAAAGTCAACGTAATGTGTGTAAATTTGGTGCGAGAAGACAAAAAACCAAGCAGAGTCTAAGGATCTTTTAAAAAGGCATTCGTTTTTTCGCCTTTTTTTGAGAAACCACCGTATTAATTTAAAGCAAATAGACTTTTCCTGGTTGTACTAAGTGTCCACGATCTGATACGCACTTTAGTGAACCCATGGAATATGATAATTCGGCGCGTTCGAAACTGTGCGTGTGCTGTTCTAACATGTATTTAAGGTAAACCCGTAACGTAATTGAGTCACTTGAGAAGCACTCATCTGGTGTACAAATTACAAGTGGCACTTGGTGCATGCAACTACACAACATGGTGACAGCTGCAAATAATCCTATAAGCACGAATGCGTTCGAGTCTTTACCGTAATTGGCATCACAGATACTAACACAGACGTGAACTGGCATTAAACATGTTATGATGGATGATAACGGGATGAATCAGCCTAATTGAACACATTAACTGAGACAACTCTCCGCCAGAAACGCGCTCTCTGAACCCAAATTACTTGCAGGTTCAAGATAAACCCTAGGAAGTACCGCAGAATATATGTTTAACTGCATTACTATGAATCACAAAAATCTCCAGAATAGTGTAAAAAATTACAGGGATGTAGAATAAGAGTTAAGGTCATTAAATGCACATAACTAGTGTGTTAGAACCCATTAGGGCTAGCTCTGTGTTTAAGTAAAAAGTTGATAAAACCACGTTTAATGAAATGGATGTCAGGTTCCCTTTTTGGGAAGAGTATAGTTAATTTTTGAACCGACTGTCCTACACACTACAAAAAACGCAGACTCGCAGCTAAAACAAGAAAATAATTTTTGGGTTTTTCGTCCACAAACGTCCTTATAAGGAACTTCAAAATTGCACATAAGTGTGACACTCGCAGCCTGTAGGATTTAATTAAATTCTGTCAGAAAGCAGAAAACTTGTGTGTTCCAAGCAAGGAAAGTACTATAGTTTAAAAATGTCGTTGTGATAGATTTCTTTTGGTTTTTGACAAGTGGGTTGATATCTTCACTTGACTTCGATTGGTCCATAAATCAGGGAACTTCAGCCGCTTTCAGAAGAGCGAAAAATGAATAGACGAGTTGAAAATTTGTACCCAACGTTGCTGCGAGCATGTTGCAGACTGAACTGTCGTATTCAAAAACAGGATCATTTCGCTGAGAGTGTATTGGTGAGAGTTAGCATCTGCTGATCGTTGAGTTGCACTTACCTCTGATCCTCTCTGTTTGCCATAATGAAGAATAGTGCCTTCAAGTGAAAAATGGGTAGTGTCCATTCTCTGGGGTTCAACTGTTCGCTAAGACAGACTGTTCTGTGTTTTAAACCACACAAACTAAGCGAAGCACATTCCTCCAATCATGTGTCGATCCTTCCATGAAAGGTTGTACATATTGTCACAGAAGTGATTTAAAGAATTCGTGTAATACAGGATGACTTAGAAGGCGCCGATTACACTGACTATATTCCAGAGGACTTGAATGCAAAATAGACCAGATTTATTAAGACACACAATAAAATCTTTCTAGATTTAACAACTAACTTCGACTTGATACAACGATTTTAATCAAATCACTTTCAAATGATAAACAGACATGTGACTGTCATGAAACACAACCCATTGCATCTATGGTGAATTGCTCATTTACGTTGCACTATTAGTCATGTAACCCCATTTATTGGCAATACGGAACTCGCAAACAGTAAAAACTCGTAACGATCTCGTTACGTAATCTGCGGAAGAAAGTATCTGATTAGTCACCAGTTCACATGCAATGTAGCCTGGCAAGGTGCTGAAACGAAACGGTGACTTCCTCCAACTCCACACGTGCCTGAATGTTAATGGACCCCGAACTTGAGGTTCTGATTGGCCACCAGATCGAATCGCTGCTTTGATTGGCCAATCCTCCTGTCAGCGGATGCATACACTCGCGAGAACAAGTGTGCGTGTACGCACGGCTGCTGTTAGTCAGTGCGCAGACACGCGCGATTCCAGTTAAAATGGCGTAGGAATTTTTGTATAGCGGACAATGGCTGCCGCATTTAAGCCCTTATTGGAATTAGGCCTACCCGATTCTGTTTCCCCAAATCAGAACCATCATTCTTTCAACGGATTTGAGACTTCCCCCTTAAACCAGCGTATCAAAACAAACGGTTCGATAGTGCGGTCGCATTCGGCCGGCGATGGACAGATGTCACTCGTAGCCGAAAATCGATACAACGGTTATCCCCACTCCCCCTACGAGGCGGAAGACGATGACGGAGACAACGAGTCACCCCCTGTCCTACTTTCTGAATGCCCTGAATTTCAGCCGTATTTAAAACCCTCCCCTTTGCAGAAAGAAATTGGAGTTCTAAACGAAGAAGACGAAATTGTCTTTGGTTTTTTGCCCCGAAATGGCAACAAGACGGATGGAAATAATGAGGATGAAGAGAGCGCCATTTGGGAGTTAATTGAAGCCGAAGCGGAGGCCTACTGTGCGTCAGGCCGAGGCGGGGAGGATAAATCTCGTTGCCTTGGCAACCTTATGACCCAGCCTCCGGCCAAGGAGACGATTAGCCACGAGACCCCTAAGGTAAGTAACAGCCACGCTAATGGGCTACGCGGGAGCGCACTGGCCCTATTCTTTTGTTTGTCACGGGTTTTAAATTTCCGCACTTTCCTTCTCGGTGACCTTCATTAAGGTGAATAACAATGACAGGAGAAATTTGTCAAGCGATGCACATGCGCTAAATTCAGAGTAGTCCTCAAACATGGTGTGACAAAAAAATTTGGTTTTCCAAAAGCCCAAAATTCAGGATTTGTTTTCTCGTTTCCATAATCATTTTTCTGTTGTTAAATTGTCGTGTGATATAGTCATAACAAAGAGACAGAGCTGTCATTTGTCACGAATAAACGTTATGGAATAGTTTTCACAAAAAACTGTTTCATTGTTAGAAGAACCCCTTCAAACTTTTGTTCTCGATAAACTTAAGAAATTTATTTTAAAGAGACATATATTTTTGGCATTTGGCTGCCAAGAATAAATCGGAAGTGCAGTTTTTTTATGACTTCCGTTTTCAATGTGCCTTGTAACTTGCTAAGTATGCTTACAACAGAATCCCACACACGTTCCGATAAAATTTCAACCGTCTGACAATAATATCTCAAAAAAATTAAGCACGCCACTTTTGAAGTGCTAATTCGCAATGACAAATTTCTGTATTGAAATCAGCTAAAACCCGTTTTTTGGTGTACTGGAGGCCGTTTCGCTCCTTGTTCATGCTTTTTCCCAGCCATCAGTGACTTCATTGTCAACGCTGGCCTGAGAAAAATCGTGTCATAGGCATTCACTTTGCGAAAATTTTCCAAGTTTTGTTATTTCGCTCTAGTTTTTAATATGGCGAAAAATTTGACCACACTGGAAGGTTTGGCTAATTTGAACAATATTAGTCAGACAATTAATCCGCTTTGTGAAGCGTTTTCGGGGCAGCTCTGTTTCGTGTGTTTGCTGCAACACCTACTCATTCAACTTCCAGCTTGTCCGCCGAAAAGTGAAGCCCTGTCTCCAAATTCGTCACGACTTGGCGCAATGAATAAGCCCAGTAATTGGTGCTTGGCCAGACAGCTGACTTGTCTCCACAGACGGTTTTTCAAATAGCCACGTTCTGGGAAGCAGTCACCATTATCATAGATTTGACTGGCTGCTTGTTTCTGTTGCCTTTTGCTTGGGCCACCGCTGCATTTTTGTCTGAATTCCCAATTTTTTTTAATTTGAAACATAGGGCATTTTGGAGATTGCGGCATTTGGAGCTTAATATTCAACTCTGTCGAGAAAGGTCGAACTTTTTTTATCTCTGATACGTAGACGTTCCGTTTTTCCATATCTTGCAAATCAAGTTTTGTTGCTTACTCCTGCTTTATTCCTGTCAAAATAAATAATCTGTAAAGTCACCAATCGTGGACGAATTTTGCATGCATTAAACCTAAACAAAGTTACCTGTTCGTGTTTGCACCAGTCCACCTCGGCTTAGCTTGCGCCAGATACGTGAGCGTGGATGCGGTGATGCGCTTACATTGTCAAAACGACAGCCTAGACTACGTGCCTAGCATTCACTAAGTCGCATTTAACTCCATCAATTTGTCAACTTCGTTCACATTTGGAATGTCAGCGTCTACGGAAGCATTTTGTGCAGCATGTTTTTCATGGGTTACCCGCCAATTCGAGCCTTAATTTATGCATCAATTTTACTAAAGTTCGAGAAATTTCAGAAACTTGCCAATCATTCCTAATGGTATTTTTGCACTGACTAAGCTCGTCTTTCCGGAGTCTGTACCGTCATCGTAGTATCTCCTTGCAGTCTGATTATTGTCAACATACATGTGACGTTTAGGTCGACACCTAGTCTAATATCCTTTGTTTCGGTGACAGAACAAAGAAAATGTATAAGTGACGATACAGCCTGACAATCACCGAAGTTTGGTCAAGATCATGATTCGTTCCTTCCAGAGTCGACTTCCTGAGTATTAAGTAAAGTTTTAAAATGGTGTTCAAAGTATGCAATGTCAGCCTAATAGCCTCAATAATTTGCAGTGATGAGGAACACCTACTAAAGTCAAACAGTCATCCCGTTCGAAACCAGAATTTGCAGCCGTGTGTAATGTAAAATGCTCTCGCCGCGGATGTATTTCCTGTCTTTTTGTCATTGCGCATATCTGTGCCATGAAAAATCTGGCAAAATCCAAGAACCTAACCCAGAGATTTTAATTTCGTCTGTAAAAATCGGGTGGAATATTTTTGCTAAGGGAAAGCGGAGGCACTAGGCGTTTTTTCCTAAGGAAATATCTTACTATTTTTCATCCCCTTAAATATTAGCTGACCATTTGGTTCATTAATATTTGTCTATATTTTATGTCAGTTTTGATCTCTTTTAATACCTCTGCCATTATTGATTCTCATTCGGTCTATTTCGCTTGACTATTTTTATGTATGTGAGCTATTTTTCTTAATATTAGTCCGTCAGAGAGTTGATTGATTCTGACATCTCAGTTAAATGATAAAAAATTAATATATCTACTATTACTCCCTCTACTTTTTAAAATTTTGTATTGAATGGTTCACAAAACCCAAAAAACGTATTTTGCTTGTGGAGTAAGTAAAAAAATCGACCCAACCTAGGTTGGATGAACAAAAATACAACCTTGAAATTAGGCCTAAGGCAAAAATTCGTAACTGCTATTTTTCCGTGACGTTTATCAGCTATGTTGGTGGGCAAAATATCTGGCGCAAAACGCTTTTATTTGTTCTACAATATGCCATACATTACCTGTCAAATTATCAGTGTCATTTGCCGTGTCTGCTTTCAACATGTCAGCGCTTCTTTTATTGGTGGCATGTTTTTTTTCAGAATTTGTTGATCGCCTAGTTCAATTGGCTGTATGAGTGTCCAAGCACTTGCAACTTTATCAAGGTTTTCTTCCGACACTTTTTTTAAAATGCATTGAGCTTCATGATTGCTCAAACATGAAAGACCTTTATTCTTTATCCTAATGAAAGACGAGTTTTCTTTCTCCGACCCCGCAGCCTCTTATCTATTTGTTTTTAATGGAATTTATTCCGATGGAACTTAATCAAAGTCGAAAATTTGTTAAATGTGAGTTAATTTAATGCACAGTAGTTTTTATTCGCGTTTCCCTAATATTACTGATACTGACACTAATACTGGAAATATCAGCTTGGAAAATTGTGGATTCTGGCCAATATCGTTTGCCCTAGTCACCTTAAAGTAATCACTTTCGTATCCAAACGAAACTCATAATGTGAAAAATGAATTTCCCTTTTTTTGAATCACAAACATGATGCTGCCAGACAGGTTTGATGGCCGTTCAGTCATGTTTAATTTGGTTATGCGTAATTTCTTATAGCATAAAATGATTAAATTTTGTTTTGTATTAAATTTACCGACCCAGTGAGTTGGTATGATAAACTTGTGTAATCATATTCTCAGATATTCCGCTCTATAATTCGATCGAATTAGTCATATCGTCAACTTTCCGCAAACACTACCAAACTGTGACTGCCTGCGACCATCGGTTCCTTAAAAACGTTTTTAACTTAAGCAAAGTTACCCACCAAAGTGCTATTTTGGGTAGGTGCGTACAAACAGCGAATTCGTTGTGCATTCCTTGAAGAATATAAACCTTAGCCGTTGTTTGCTATCTGTGAGCACAAGAGAACTCTCAGTTTTTATTTTTCTTGCTTCTTAGAAGCCTTGGAAACGAAAACAAAGCTCAAAAGCTCTTTTCATCTCCTTGAAATAGAGCTGTTACCGTTTTTCATCAAGATGGCTTGGGCAATAATCATTCCAGAGGTTATCCCCTTCCGGCAAATCAGCGTGTAGGCAATTTGTAAAGACTCGTGTAACTTATCTACACAAGGCTTTAAGTTAAGAATATTAGCAGCGTAGGCTGGTTGAAATTGGTCAGAAGTAATTGGGAAAGCCATTTATGAGTTGCCCAGACAACTGCTATCGGTTTCAATGGAATTTGACACTTGCTTATTTGCCTGCAGAGCTATTCAGCTAGAATTGTCTTTGTTTGCGACTAACTCATTCCTAAGTGTATCAAGCAAACAATTGTGTGAAATCTAATTAACCTTACACAGCATGCTTCACTTGCTTACAACGTTAATCAGGAATGAGCAAACCCATGCAATATAGTTTTTTTCGGCAGAGACTAACAGTGAATTAACAAATGTTGCGTAGCGTTTTAAATTATGCATCTTGAATTTACATTTAAAAAGACATTTTCAGATCAATGAAGTGTACACTCATATTCTGATCTCGTTTTCCGACAAGTCAACGACGTCTAGGAAGTGCTAATTTGTACCAAATCTTTTGCACGATAAAGTTCAAAAATTAACGGAGAAATCTAATCATCAAATGATTAAATTTAAAAAAATAATGCATTTCCAGAAAAAAAAACTGTAAGTCCTCTAAAATCAAATCCTCCAGCTGTTGGATTTGTAAAAAAATTATGTGAATACGCAGAAGTCAAAATGATTCTGTTCGTTTTACAAACAGACATTTTTATTAAGTGTCTAATCACTCATTACAGCTAATTGACCAATAAACAAGCTAGTTTACAAGATCAAACTTAGTTTGCCGTATATTTTGTCAAATTTGAAAGACTTAATTAAGCATTTTAAGCTCAGTTTTCAACAGCAACTAGTGATTTGAAAATGTTCATTTTATTAACGCTTTTGCCATCGTACTTTAAGGTGAAAGGTATGATTTTGTTCTGCAGTTATGGCTACAGATAGGATACAGGTTGATAAAAATGTCGATAAGAGTAGATAGTGTTTAAGTTATGCATGCCGCATGTAAATTTACCACCTATAGCCACTCTTTGTAATCAAAAAATTGATCTGGTCTCGATAAGTTGGCGCAAAAGGACTTATAAAACATGCAATTATGTCCGGACGCATTGTTTTTTTTAGTAATTTCTGCCCACATTAATCGATTTATAAGTAAACTATAACGTGATAAGTAGTTTATGAGTAGTCCATACTGCGTACATTAAAATTATCAAGATTGGCAACAAATCAAATTCATCCGTTTCAATAAAAAGGTGTATTTTATTAATAAAACCACGAAAAACACTAAATTTATAACTTGAATTACCTTATAGTTAAAATAACAATAAATGATGGTAAAGTGTCAATGATATTTTTGATCTGCCATCCTTAGGTATTAGGGCTGTTGGGTAACCTTTCTTCCACATACGTAAGAAGAAACTGCAAATTATTGTCGTCAAAGCTAGTTTTTTTTTGGAAAACGTAAGACAACTTTATTTAATTTTTTAAAAAATCAAATAGTTTAATTTGTCTCCCACGGGAAACCAGATGGTCTGTTTTGAAACCATTATCTGCAGCTGACCGAATCTGAGAAGTGAAATCCCCAGTGATTAACATCAAGGGATTTGGTTTTAGTAAATAGTTCTGTTTACCAGCCTCCAATCGTACAAAATATTTGACTTGAATTTTAGACTTGCAGCACTTTTGCCATTGAGACCACACTCGTAACGGCTACTTTTTTCGATTTATATAAGATGTACAAATGATTAGAAGAACGTTACCGAGAATTTTTTCTCCGAACATTTTAACCAGATTTGTGGTGTAAATGTCTCCACTTCTGCGTTCTGCGTATTTACCATTCCGACGACATTAGTTTGCCATCTTCGTCAAAAATGTAGTCATCCCCAGGGTAATATGCATCCCTAATGTAATATTTATGTTATTGCTTATTAGGTATTTATCTGTTGACTAGATTTTCAGTTCAACCATGCTTGTGTTTTTGGCCTTTTCGCAGCCAAAATGTCTTAATTCCAGAATGTGGTTATAGTAAATAACCACAATGGTGGTTTAAGGCTTCACGTCATGTAAGTGCGACAAAAACCCATAACTTTCTGAGAGTCTCTACCACAACTTATGCTTTTACTGTGATAAATGATTGCAGGCTAGCAGCATTGGATGATTGCCCCTGTGACTTTTTTTCTAGAGAATAATGTGATAAATAGGTTTTTTTAATTGAACATCGTTATTCTACAACTCGTCAGTTCAAGCGTCACAAGAAATTAGTTGATAGTCGGGCTTTATTATATTCTGTTGAATAGCTTCAGAGTAATTTTTGACTACTTACGCTCGTGTTTCACGTCAAGCGGTCATAGCCATCTCCATTTTTTAAAACTTGTTCTCTAGCTAAATTCCTTGCATGAAGACCCATCTCCTCCTACCTCGGGCGTAGCCGCGCTGCTGAACTGTGCGGCAAGCGAATTAAACAAACTCCGAGTTGGTGCAGCAGTCCTCAGAAAGACGTCTGTTGAATCCAAGGAATCCCCTAAACCATCGTCGTTTTCGCTGCCACTGTCACAACCGCAGCCACCACCTCCACCGCCGCAGGTTGCCGCCGAAAATCGTCATGAGAAGACGTCTAGCACAACTGGAACTCTTGCGAGTTTGCTTCACATCCAGTTGGCCCAACTCAATCGGATGTCCGAGGCTGTGAGGGTTGAGGTGCGATCTGAAATTTTTTTGTGGAAATTATGTCGTCAACAGTCCATTTGTTTTAATTTTACCTATGTTTTTGTTTGAAAGCTGAACATTATAGCACAACATCGCAGTCAAATACTCTTCCACCAGGAGAGTAATTTGTTTCATTCCACTCAGTGAACATGCGGAGAAATAAAATTTGGCCCTGCTTAGAGCTTGGTTTGTTCGTAAATACTTGGAGACTTGTCCTACGACTATTTGTAGTGTTCTGTTGGGTTAAGTGTGTGACTTAGTCACATGACAGCGCAAATGGACGCTAAGGGTAAAAGTGATTTTGAGCAAAGATTAATTGTGAGACTGTAGTCGGGGTTAATTACGACCCCCTGTTTACGAAGATTTGCTTCTAGACCCTTTGTGCATGCAATTTTGGTTGCAAAATATCTCCCAGTTCAGTGTTAGCTTTTCAGTGCACAAAATAACCTTTTTTGCACATGACACCGACCCATCTCTCGTCGTTACCGGCTCATGTAACATTCAAGGAGCGTAATTTGATTCCAAGGCTATTTCCTGGAATAGATTAAGAGTACAAAGAGTAGGTATCCGAAGCAATATTCTTCTTAACTGCTTGAGTTCAGGGTTCCGATTTGTTGGAGCGAAAATCCGTGGAGTGTCTAAGTAGCCTTCTTAAGTGCAACATTTTTATGTTAGCTTGCCATTTTAGCAAACACATTGCAAATACGGAAGAGCGAGTATAATTTTAAATGAAAATTTGCTTCAAATTAATTTTAAAAATATCACGCCTTCCAATTGCATAAACTCACAGAGATTGAATAATTGCTTCAACCTCTTTTTTCTACACTTTACGCTGTCACATTATTTATTCATTTCTTGCATTTTTTGATCCTTGGGCTTAAAATGGTAGCTGTTTTGACATATAATACTAAAACGTTTAAATTTTTGCTGTGTAAAAGAATAACGCATTAAGTGAAAAGTATTATCTACACCGAAATTGTTGATCTGCGTGAGATAGGTGTCAAGTTAGGTATAAATTATCAATCTACTTGATTCCTGCTTTTCCTACTTTTCAATATTTTATTCCAAAACTGGCTACTGTCAGTGGTCTACAAAATTCGTTAAATTCTGTGATGTCTTACGGTCTACTGACTTTGCCTTGTCACCCAAAACTCCCGCCTTCACGACCACGATTGACCCCATAATGTCGCGAAATTACGTTCGTTTAATGGTCCATGAATGCACGATAGCTACACTGACCCATGTCCTATGACCTCTCAATACTTGATGAATGCCCACTGCTGTCGCGTAAAGGTTTAATTACAGCAGGTCAGCAGAACACCTTCTAGGGCATTTATAACGAAACTGCTACTTCGTCTAGGCATAGGTTTTGGTGGTTTTTATACTGGATACCATCTCAGGCAGTCACAAATCAATAACTCGAAACTTGTATTTTCATTTACTTTAGTTCAGTAACCAACTCGCCCATGAGAGGGCACTGTTGGAGCTGCTGGAACTGGAGCACAGTCGAGTCCGTTCTGAGGTGAGGGCAGCCGAAAAGAGGGGTGAAACGGCACCACCCGACCTCACAAATCAACTGCGCCACCTGAAAGAGCGCCTGGACCAACAGAAGACCCTCATCGATGATCTTGAGTACCAGTATCTTGAAGTAAGTTTCCAGCACCCAACTCAAATACTAACAGCGCCGCATGGAGTATCAGTTGTGCTACATTTTTGTTCAAGTGTGCTCACGTAGCTGGTTCAAGGCTCATTTGTGCGTTGAGAAAGAGATCAACCATTCAAGCCTTGCAACACCCAGATTCATCTCAAATAACTTCCCAAAGAGTTTTGAATCCATAGTGCTTTCTAGGCTGTTTGATTTTGATTTAAATGTGTATAACTTCCTAATTGAACGGAAATCAGGTATACCTATCCCATTCTAAAGGCAAATGTCAAAATTATTTTGATTGGTTTTATATTTCAAGTCTAGAAATCAAGTTTGTTCAAAGGTGCGAGAAATCAATATTATTAAAAAATTATATTTTACTAACCAAGCTAAAGAACAATGTATTAAAAAATCAGAATGCTATTGTCTGCTGCTTCACTCTTCTGGCACATTTAATTTTTTCCTGCTTTTACATATTGAGTTGCCATCCAAGGCATCGGTTAGTTCAGTAGTAGATCGCCTTGGTTACCAGTTTGTCTAAGTCTTTGATCTTAAGCCAAAGCGACATTCTACCTCAAGACACGTTTTTTGCACACGATGTAAAATCCAGTGCACCTTGTGTGTACATAAAGAAACAAGTGATTCTTCGTTCAAAATAAACACGGATATTGCTACAGTGCGCGCACACATTGCAGAAAAAAACCTGTCTCATTTTCTTGCCCAAATTTTAGCTTATTGCGTTTTAAAACAAAGCAACTGGTTTTTTTTCTGAGAACTTAATAAATATGAACAGGCCCATTCATTCAAAAGATAATTTGGCAACCACGATCATATTACTAAAGTAGTAGCTAACGCTTTTTCTTTGATGGACCCGTGACGCAGCACCTATTTGAGACTTCATTCCGATGTTTTGACACAAGTTTACAGGTATTTTGGCGCTTGGTTGGCAAAAGTAATATTGTTCTTCAAAGAACACATTTAGAAACCACCGTTGTATCAAAAATTGGTGTTAGTAAGTTTGTTGTTGAAACAAAACTAGTAATTATGCAATTTGATTCCAACGACCACAAATGAACAGTGGGAGTCATTTTGCATGCAAATATTTCGAACAGAAACCCAATACTGTCTTGGTTAATCTTTAGAAGTTATGCTCATGACCTGTTACAGCCTAACGCACCCATTCATTCTACCTGTCTGACTTATTTTGAGTCAGTTCTCATTTTATTGGTTTACGTTATGCGCGATGTTTGACTGCTATTTGGGTTTGCGGTTTGTGATAGCGCATCACACATGGTCAATCTTTGCATGTCGGCTATATTCATAAGAAGAAGATGTTTTAAAATACAGTCGAAATGCGACTGTTTTTGCTAATCCACGTTTTTTGCTCTAAAACTGCATATCATTCAACGCTCTTGCCTTCTGAGAAATTAACGGTGCCTTAAGAGCAGATGAATCCGCTTCCATAAATTTTAAAAATCAGATTATTTTATTGAGTATTTTAAAACTACCATTACCAGGTAAAAATCAGGCTTTGAGATCAGCTAAAAATGGTGTATAATCCAATAAGCACTTTTTTTCAAAATAGGAAATCTTTAGAACCTGATGTCAATTATCCGGTCATGCAGATTTTACTATCCTTACCCAAACGTTTCGATCCACGTATCGTCAATTAATTATTCATATTCGAACGTTCTGATCACAGGTCTGAAGATTTTCAAGCTTGAGTTTCATTCATTTGTGTCACGTAATCTAATCTTCGTATCACCCTAATTCCACCATGCTTAATCAACAGGTAACAGACAACCGTGTACGTGCTGTTACCTGTTTTCCAATTTTAAACGCAATGTGACCTTAAACGATTTGGCGAATAAATTCAGAAATATTTGCTGAATCACTGAAAGGTAGATTCTACTAGGACGCGGTTTTTGTTCAATTCCTAAAAACTACAGACATCCACATTTTCGAAATCGTTAATATTTTAGCCGAACAAAGGTATTAGTTTTCATCCACACCGAATGTCCTGCATTTTTCTAGGCCATAAATAATGACTGCGGCATTGCATCTCTCGAAATCGTGTTTGTCGGCGTGTAAAATCAACGGTAGATAGCGTTGTGTCTTCTCTACATCTAATTCCGCACTTACGTGCCACATTCACTGGGAAGAAACCTGCACAACATTCGTTGAAGCATGCATGTGCACTTACTGCCACCACAATGGACGTGTCTGTCTGTCATTACATCTTATCAATAGTGCTAAAATACATTGCTGAATTGTTGATTTGCCAAGCCATTATAACGCAGGTAGTCTTGTCCAATTAATTTCGTCCTAGCTACTTTTTGGGAAGTACTGCACGTCCGTGTGTACATGACTTGATGATTCAGCTCTGTGGATCAAGACAAGCAGCACAGACATGACTGCGGTGAAAGCTGATCGCCTCAACGGCAGTCGTTTTCATTTTAATTTAAAATCGCTTCTCTCTTAAGCAACGACTCTTAAATTCTCGCCTAAATTTCGTCTAAGGTAAACTAGTTTGTGTACCTTCCGATGATATTCTAAGTTAAGTTCCTTGTCTTGTTTATTATCATTTCCAAATAGACTTTAGTAGTCTTAGGAGTAGACGTCCTAATGGACAGCTTTAAAATTAATCAGTGCTTTAAAAATTAATTTTATTACTATTTGTTAGTTTATTATACACAAAGGTTCTGGGCTTATTTAAGAAACAACTTGTTTCTGTAGCAAACCATGGAAAATATTAAGTGGAAAAATCTTAAAATTTTGAATAAATTTTCTCCAAGTAAAAATCTTGAAATCCATACATTCACTTATTTTTGTGTTTGCTTTTGCCTTTAAACCCCAGAAACTTTTGTCAAAGATCCCACTTTAAAAACGCGGTAAAACAAGAAAACTGAAGGGATTAGCCATGAGTATAAATTCTAACTAAGTATTTTCAAGTCGACCAAAAGCATCAATCGTACTGCTTGCAGACACTTTTCCCTTCTTTAATTTGTCGGGATACCGAAAGTACCTTATTTGCGTTTTCGCTCGTGACCCCACTTCACCTGTGGATTGTACTTTTTCCGATGGTAGAACTCCTTTGATTTGTCTTCGCGACACAGTTTAGCTTAATCTTCTCGACCAATCCCGACATTTTCGTCTGCTCTACCAGGACTTCTGTAATTCAGGCCGTGTTCAATAGTTCGTCCTGTAAACTTTTAAATAAATGCCTTTTAATGGCCTTGCAGTGACGACATTTTGATAGGCATTTTTATGGATGCGGTTTTCAAAAGCTACCGTGGATTGTAGCATTGTCCGACGCTCTCTGGTTAATTTATTTGTCATATTTAAATTTAGCTTTAGCTGTATTTTCACTCCAGAAATTCACTGTCACCACAAGAGACATAAAATATTCGGTGTTTCATGGAGGTCTAAATCTAGGTGTATTCTAGTTACGATCGCTATTCGCTGCACAAATTCCATTCAGTTACATTTCTTGCGCCCATGCAATCTCATAGCGCATTGTTTGCGGGTGCAGTCTGAGATTTAAATTTTGCAAAGACGAATTTGTACTGTGTTAGATTTTTCAGATTTCAACTGATATAGCCAATCTTAATGAAATAAAACATCAAGTACAACCTTTATAACGCTTAATTACGACTAAGTGGTTTGTTATCTTAGGAAAGCAATCTTGCATAATGAGTAATTTTGCTTTTAGATTTAGTAATTGGCTTTAAATTATGGACTGAAGTAGATATCACTGTGTGTAGGTGCTGGATCCGTCCATAAATTAATATGTGTCAAGAAGAAATGTCGACTCCATTAATTTTAAAGACTTAGTGGAAATGAGTGGAATCGCACCTTATTGTAGGAAAAAAATTGCACCTAGACTGCTTGTTATATAAATCATCCGTAGACCGAAATTAGGGTTCTACCGAAGTCCATAATCTATTTCTGAATTTAAGTTTAGTTGTCAAGCCAGGTTTATGTAATAGGCAAATAATAAGAAAATAAAAACTATCAAAATAGGAAAAAGAACTTGATTATTTTCATTAACTGGAGTAGCCAGAAAACCATAGTTTCGACGTGTTTTGGATGCATACTCAAAGTAAATCTTTACGACTCAGTAGGTTCTGATTAATATAGAGACAGATTAGATACTCAACTTTTTTTAAATCCCCTTATATGTTGGTAAATTTAAATAAGTCTACATTTGGGAAGGAGGCTTGTTTGAACAATCGTGGAATAGCTATGAAATGATTCGTTGCGCGTCGTGACAAATTCCCTTAGTTTCTTGTTTACTTCCCATTTACAATTGCCAAAAACAGTACAGTATTGTTTATTAGTTAGTTTAGTTGAGATTACGATATAAATTATATGCAAACCAAACGCCTCATGAGAAGCGCCTGCGGTCTGTCGGTTCGGTCCCTTATTATTTCAACAAATTGCACCACAATTTGCTGTTTCGTTCCACTGTGTTCGTAGGCGCTGGTGCAACCGCGCACACGTAGGTGTTTTTGTGTGTCACCGCTCTGAATCACTGCAACCGACTTCTTCGTTTTTACTTCATGGATGCCTTGAGGTACATTTTATCACATCCAAAACAAGTTTGGACACAACTGAATCCACACGAAAGCACGTGTTTGTTAGTGCAGTCCGTTATTTCAAACACTTATCTCAGCGATTCCGAAGCATGAAATCATGTTTGAATATTTACATCTCCATGGTTAAACCAAGACAATGCTACCAGAACCAGTAGCCGTCGCTTAGCACATGCATTACTATGCAGGCTTTAGAGCTTGTGTGCACGATAATGCGTTCGTTACAATCCAACATCTGTTTGAAATATTGGCCACTGCATTGTACCACCAGTGTCGCCAGCTGTGACATTCCATTTATCCCACATTAGCCGGGCTATTGCCCTGGTCAGTTGCAGCACCCACCAAAGTAGCTAGGCCGATTTGTTTTTCGTTTTGCCGGAAAATCCCGCGTTTACGCACGCCCCATCAGCCGAGTGTAGTTTGACTTCGCACGTGAATGATTCACACTAGCCAAATTACTTGCGTTTTCTGGCTATGCTTGCTTTGGTGAAAAGGTCAATATCATCTGATCAGACAAACGATAAATCATTCATTGTGATTATTACATTTTTTTTGTTATTTTGTCTAGCAAAATTGAATCGCAGTGTGCGCAACTTTCAGTCTACAGCACTTTTTTTTATAAACATTTGAAACTGACGTCCTTTAAATTAACAAGAGGGCTACTCGCTTTTCCACACTAGACCATTGCTTTATTAAATCTGTATTAAACTTAATTTTAGTGCTGTTTTTATGAATAAATCTTTTGCTAGGACAAAACCAAATACGAGGAGGAAAAGGAGAGCTTGATAGCCCAGTTAAAACTCCATGAAGATACACCGTCCGAGTCACCTCACAGTACGAGCCCAAACAGGCAGTTTCGCACGGACGATGTCGCTCCCACGCAAGCCGACAACTGCTACTCCGGATTCGGGACTGTGGTCGCTCAGCCTGATTCTCTACCGACCCAAAAAACCAACTCACCTATTTACTCATCGCCCGTCAAAGACTCGCCTGTGGATTGTCCCGGTGGACCATCGACTCCTGTTGACGTATGTCTTACTTCATAAAATCTCCTAGCTTATTTTCTAATCTGCAAGAAAAACAAAGTCTGAATAAATAGAGTCCGATATTTGAAGATAGGTTTAAGTACATTTTCGCTCAATTTTTCTTAAAAATCGTCCAATTTTGCAACATTGTTCGCAGCCCTGTACTCACCAGTGTCAGTTGCCTTGTAACGCACTTTGTCACCGATTTGGGTGGAGCAGGAATCGTTTACTGTAATTTGATGAACTCCGGTGATGCCACGGCCCCTGCACAGTTTGTAAGCATGCTTGCGTGGTTGTGCGTAAAATGGACTAGCTGTGTGCGGACAGCTGCTGTGCGGCCTGAGAGAAAATCGGTCTGGAATTCACTTTGTCGTTTGTGCTTCTGTGACAGCACACATTTCCTTTTCATTCCAAGAACCCTGTGTGCTCCGGAGGTTAGGTGTTTATTTCCGCATCATATAACTACAATGTAAAAAGCAAAAACGTGTTTAATTCACTGATTTTAATTTCACTGAAAATACTTTGAATTCACGTTGTGTCAGCAGTTCAAACGAATCGTCTTTTCACTGAATTATTTAAATCCGAACGCTTTACCGGTGTGACGTTTAAACTTCACCCAGAGTGAGGCATAACGTGCCCGACAAATGGAACCGTTTTCCCACCACGCTAACTCGATTTTGTCACCTCATGGTTGACACATGTCGAACATTCACCTAATACCTCCACTATTGTGAAAACTCACTTCGGACGAGCAAGTCTGTTTTCGTACATGCCTAGGAGTTTCCATAAGGAAATGTATTTTTGGTTCCATAATTTAAAACGATAGACTTGGGAAAAAATGTGTTCCGACTTTTCCTAAAATGACTTTTAATCGACCAAAATAGATATTGGTATCGTGTCCAGATGAGTAGCCATCGTTATCTCGAGCAAAAACAATTTATTAGGGCAATTTTTTTGTAAATGAAAAGGAATTTATCACAGGGTTTTATTCTTTTTGCTAATGAATTGTGTTAGAAACACGTGACTTTCGTAACACTTAAATATGGTTAATTTATGACATCAGCAGTTGGCGCCACTAAATAACTTAATGAAAACAAAACAGTCTTAAATCCTGAAAAGTCAAGAGTTTGGAATGCTTGATCTGTTTCAAATCAAGTGTGTGCATTGAAAAGGACCTGTATTTATAAAGGTCAGTGTTAAATTTCCAGTTTTCTTATTTAAAAATCAAATAATCGTTATAGTTTCCACACTAGCCTACAATGTGGCAAGTATCATTAGGCAAGTTTGTATGTTAAAGCAAATTTACAAATTCACAGATATGCATTGTCTTGAGGTTTATCAAGTCTGATTTTCAAAGACAATCACAGAGTCCTTCTAAGGATTGTTCTGGCTTACCGAAGTCCATATCACTGCATTGCACATACTAATTTTTTTCTTAAATCGCATTGTTAGCTGTGGATTTTATCGCGAATCTGCATATTAATCTAATTTTGATGTCAAATACACCATATTTTGGATGTCGTGATGACTTCCTGGTCAAATTAATTCCCCATTTAATCTGATAGAAAGCTAAGAGCCGGTACCACAATAGCTCCCTTTTATTATGCTTGAAAGATGCGCAAAAACAGTAGGTTTAAGTCGATTAATTAAAACACTTACAAAATTCCATGTTCTTCAGTGTTCTCGTGGCTTCTGTGTATTGCCTCAGTGTTTTCCTCTCTGTTTTTAGAATGGCCCTCGAAACAGAGCGTTTTTTGGTGAGAACGAGGCCAATTTGAGTGGTAAGTTACCATGCTGCCAAGTTATAGTAACTCTGACTAAGTTAGCGACCAAAGGAGTTATTAAAGCATGAAATGTGTATTTGGTAGAGGTGTCATGGTGTGCACTGTTGCACACTCTTGCACTAAAAAATTCCATCTTTTCGGCCATAAATCAAGTTATTTTACTCTCTTTAGCAAGATATAAGATGCTCGGCGTTTGTTTATAAGTTCTGTCCCGTGCTGTGCATTTCTGCTTTGCTCAACAAGAAATGGAGTAGAAAAAGCATTTGATTTCACTGCTGGTAAATGGACTGAGTGATATCCTTCGTTCCGTCCCATACATTTACTGTCGTTTGTATTAATTTCGCATGCATTTCATCCCAAAAATTGTCTCGTTTTTAACTAACTGTGTTACAAGACACTTTTTAAAACACAGAAATGGATGCTGGGTGAAATTTTAACCTTGTCTATAGAACAGCACTGCTAACGTGTCTGTGAAACGTTGGTTCTTGAAGGATGTCCGTCTGGATGTATACGCAGGAAAGCCAGTTCAAAAAGCATTCATGCTCAACATCAAGGGAATCCATTCCCGAAGGAGGTATTGTCGCCGACGACAAAGCGCACGAAAGGAAAGCAATTAGTGGGTGTAAATGAAGACCCATAACCCTTGCCCCTAAGGCATTTTTTCCCAAAAAAGGTTGTCTCTCTGAGTAATTACTTTGACTACAAAAGAAGAGGTTATTGTAAATTGAGGAAGTTCTGTCATGTCGGTATTTTTAATTGGCGCCAGGGATGTCCTTAATGTCTTATCTGGCTAGTGTTAAACGGGAAAAACGTGTCCTGTGTATGACTTAAAAAATATCCTTTATTAAGCAAAATGTTTGTTTTCGCTCTCTGAATTTTCAAATGTTCTCTGTTCCATTTAGTATATATTGTGCTGCTTGAACTTGAACGTGTAGTGCAGAAAATTAGCATGGCAGATTGAATCCGGTTCAAAACGAAACTCAAGGATATCTGCATTCTAAACATAGTGGCCACAGCACTGCAACCCAAAATTCCTTATTTTGATGATCGTGTCATGTGGGATTAAGGCGGCACAAATTTTACTATACATGCAAATTGTTAATTTTCGAATAAAGTGTGATTTAAGCATTTTCTATGGCCTGTATCCACGTCAGTTCGAAAAATTAAAACCGACGCTGAATGTATGAGCTGCGATTTGATCTTTTTTTTGTAATTTGCTGGCAAGTAGAGAAGCAGCATTTCTGGAACCCGTAATCAACGCTTCAAATCTTGTATGGTAGCTGCTATGTCATGCAACGGTGTTTCGTCGGAAACCCACTGTTATCTGACGTAACACATCAGTGAAATGGTGCCTGCAAGGCCCTTTCGTGGAATCGAGACTGTACATCTTTCCTGTTTGTGATCTAGTTTGGATTACTAGAAAATCCTGTTAGCTTGAGGCGTCAGGAATCTGGCATTCCTTGTCAGTTCCCTGAATTTACAGCTGAACTTCGGCACGAAGAGTTAAAGGTAGACTAGGCTAGCTGATTCGGTGTTGGTATACCCCTTCGTTCTGACCAGCCTTAGTTTAAAATCACAAAGATTCCTACAACAACTCCATAAATCCAACAAATCCTAACACTCAACTGGCGAAATGAGGAGTATCTCGTGAATATTGTATTGCCAATACATCCTGAGGTCACTCCAAATTCCATCAATTTCTGGTACAAAAACACTGGAACGTTTGCAAATGAAGTGAATGGAGTTTTTCTACCAAATGCGGTTGTTTTGCATGTATGTGCCAACTCGGTTAGTACTAACACGCTCGTGGCATGTCCAACTTGGAAAGAGTTATGTAAATTAGATGAAAAACCCGCCAATTTCAGTTGTGATCAAAGAACCACAAGGACGCCACTTGCCTGTGGTCTTCGTAGGTGCCATATGGGAAGCAGATGATCAATTACAGAGGGCCTTTCCATATGTTTAATTTCTATCCCTTTTGGTGTATTAAATGGGCAAAGAGCAGGAAGCTTTATTCATTTGTCCAGTCTTTATAGGTCAAGTGATGGCCGGCCTCACTTGATCAGTATTTTAACCACACCAAGAAACCTTCCTTCTCCCAAAAAGGTCATCTTTCTATCCTACAGATTATTTTCTGAGTGGCTGAAAGTCGAAGGTTACACTTCTACCAATTATGTAAGAGGAGCGGCTATGATATTGACCCACTTTGGCAATTAGAATCGTGGTTGTGGAATGACAAAACGGCACACAGATAGGATTGAGATAATATAATCAGCCATGCATGTCCTGAAATGATGAGCACGTGATACTGGATGGCAATCAGATGGCAGTAATTATAATTGTTATATAATTTAGTTTTGATAACATGTTTCCTATGCCGCCAGAACTAAAGATAATCAGAGACGTGTGCTCGTTGAGATACACAAAGTAGTGATTATTTTAAGTCAATAAAGTGTCCTTAAAGCGCGGTGTCACGTCGATGACGCCCTGCGTATTTGGGGTCAGGTCACTACACCTACCGCTACACGATCGCTTGGTGGCGCAAAAATGCTGATAACGCATGATACATTGCGAAAAAAACGTGTATTTGGTGCTTATTCAGAAATCGGACATTTTGGGACCTTGTGAATGTAACTGAATCCCAAACGGTACTAACCGCAATTTTGAAATATCTCTATAGAGTTTCTAAAGCCTTTCCGATGAATCGATTTGCTGTAAATGACGTTTTTATGAAATTTTAGTAAAAATTTCGATTCCTCCATGTAGTATACCTGCGAACCAAACTAGTATCCAGTGTGATAATGATTTCATGGCAGAATTTAAACCTTGACAGGCTGAAAGTAACTATTAACCTTCTCAAATTCCATCAAAAGTTTTGATAAGCTTCCGGACTTTTGACTGGGTTGTACTATGCACGATTCTCTTCGAAATTGGCATTTTTACACTATTATGTACAATGGCTGAACGTTTTTGTGCGTATGTTTGATTAAATTTAAATCTATTGCCACAAATAACTGGTCATTACTAAATAAAAAAAATTACGCACTACTGCGTGGATGGACAAACACCACAATTCTACTATTGCTCCACCTGATCGACTTTTCACTTGAGCAAAGTTCTGTAAAGTTTCCACTCTATTTTCAGCTTGAATACTGGATGCAGGCTCTAGCAGTTTTCAGTTTCCTGTAAAAGTCTGCTTCCAGGTTAGGTAACCTCGAAACCCGCGCGAATACCTCTCCCGAAATATGCAATCCCTAGCCGATGAAAGGCATTTTGCGTAAAGGTCAAGCATTCTGGTAGTCAGATGAACGTTAATCTGTTTTCCTTCCACACGCCGCACACTAGCGTAGATCTGGTAGAGTTCTTGTCCGATTCCTTGACTGGTAACGGCAAACGATCGAGCAAAAATCTTCCTACACTACTTACATTGGCTAAAAATGGTAACGTTTCATCTCTGTTGTATACTAAATTACAGAAGCAATCCAATTTGAGGGTAACTCATTTGGAACTTTGAACTGAAAGTATATATTAGACGAGTTTAAACTAATTGGCTAGTAATGTTTCAAACTTGACTGAGTTATACATTTTTTTGCGTTGCCAAAGTCATTTTAATTCCATTTTCGAGTAGTATAATCCATTATTGAATGAAATCAGGTTGCAGTTTGTGGGAAATGTATGCTCTACCGTGTAGCGGATGAGGTTGTTTGGATGTTGCGTGGTCGCAATTGAAAACATTTATGTCTACTTGTAGCTACGAGTAGCATTGCTCCTGTGCCCGTGGCCGAAAACCAAGGGCATTTAGTTAGGACCCCACCACGAACCTTGGCTGAGTACGTTGAAGGGATGCAGAGCAACAGCGGCTTCAGCCACTACTCACCGCCACTTCTACCTTCTACTTCACCCTCGATACACCGCCGAGGCAATTCGTCGGTGAACGAGCCGAAAATCCCGTTCCCTCTCTCCGTCTTTCACCACCAAAATGGCCGCAGTTTTGAAGAAACTGTAAGTTCATAAAGATACGTAGTCTTAGTTTCGGTCAGCCCCGTTCGGGCACATTTTAGACCAACCTATCAAATACGAAATGTTTTCATAATTAAATAATTATCAACCCAACAGGTGGACATTTAGATTCTCAACTAGAATTACAAATTTAGTTATTCATGTTGTTAGCTTACTTCCACGCTAACAATAATGATGGTACATATCGTGAAATTGATTAGTCTAAAATTTCTCTATATCGATGCAACATTTATTGCATTTTCCCTGTAACCTTGCGAACTTGCCCCACAGGTAACCACTTCTTCGAGCTCCTCTCTAGTCCCCGTTGAACGGGACCCCTTCCAGTCCTCATTCACGTCCTCTTCGATCAACATCTTCCATGCCGTCCCTCCCTTGCCCCCCAGCGCAGCGGTTCCAGAACCACTGATGGGCGACTGCGAAGCGTCCATGCGGCGGCCGCGACTCGACGACGTCATGCCACAGCCGCTAGACGGAACTTTTATCCGTCGACGACAGCGAACTGCCTCTGCGGCTACTCGGCGCGTGTGGCAGGATTGTGAGGTGAGTAACGGCCTTGACAAATCGGGATTATTTGCCCTTTTGAAGGTCGCAATCAGCCCTTTGTTAAGTTGTGTGTGGTGCAATGTCTAGCCTTGGTTACATCTATAAGCCAGAAGTCGGCATCAAATTACAACACTTCGGAAACCGCGCTGATTCAGTGTCCTTGCGGAAAAACATGCAACAGAATGACTTCCGCTGGCCACTTAGTATTCATGGCAATGACTCGACTTCCTTCTTCTGGAATGTAGGCCTTCCTGTGTTTATGCTTAGTAGATTTGATGTCTGCGTGTCCAGTTTTGGGGTCGGATGCTTGCAGTTTTTCGTCAGCGGACAAGTCGACTGGCTAGAACTTGCTTCACTGACGCACAAAATATACTTATCTGATGGTGTCCCTTTGTGCTTACTTCTAGTTAAAATCCTAACCCGTGTCTGCCTTTCGGGTGTTTCCAAGTTTTGACTCTGGGGCACACTGATGTCATTCATTTTCACTTATTGATCTGAATTATAAACTAACTGATGTTCCATTGTCAGAAGCCAGAAGCAGTTACAGCACAAATTAGGCGTAAGGGCTTGGTGTCAGTCTGAGTTCTATCCGCTGTCTTGTCAAGGTTCTAGACAGGGATTTAAAGTCGTAAGCGCACTGACAAGAGCTTAAATCCCTCAAAAGTAATAAAGTCTGGCTTCCTAAATGGAATGTTGAGCACACTAGCTCTGCGTAGTGGACGCGGATAGGTTTCAACAAATTTTATGAGTTGCATTCTCTGGCAGAGTTAATTATGTGTTACTAATAATAGCAAATTAAGTCAACAACAAACACCAAACAACGATATTGGATTTCGGTCGAGGGTGAAAGCTTGCATGTTTCTTAGATGCTTATTTCCTCTGCCTAACTATCCTAAGTTTGTCTACCCGTAGGCGCGTCCGTTGACCCGCTACCTCCCAGTACCCGACGACATCTCCTTCGATCTTCGGCATCACCTCGAGGTAACCTGCGGTCACATTCTTTGCTCCCCCCTTCTAATGCCCCAGTTGCACGTTGACGCGACCACCTGCGCGGGCTACCTGTACAAAATTGATTCGCGCATGACCACCACCACCACCACCGCCACTAGGGGTGCCTCCACGGACTCGCAGCAGGATGTGTCATCGTCAGGAGGTGATCTCTCCTTCTTTTCGCCCGCCACTCGCAGAGCACGCCAGGTGTCCCGTGTGACTCCTCCTTCCAACGGAGGCGGTTTCATGGCAGCTCTCTTTCACCGAAGCCGCCGTGGTAAACGACGATGGTTCGTCCTTGATCGCAGACGACGACTTCTCATCTATTATTCTTGTCAGACCTCGAAGACCTCCAGTGCGGCTTCCCTCATGAAACCAAAAGGTAAGATGCGGTATCCTTTATTTAGCTGTCACAATGGGAGAATACATTACTCTAGTAACGATAGACAGCACAATATTGTTGTCCGACTAATTTTTTTGACCTGTAAGTTATCCGTTTTTCAACTATCTGTGAAACGTCACTAACGAAAGATTGAATTTAGCTTGAATCCCAAGATGGCAATTTCATCATCTGGTGACTGCTTTCAGTTACCACGTTAATACAATTCCTATGATCCAAACCAACATCAACGTCTGTAAGCTTTCGACTCGTCTTGTTGGTAGGACACTTGCAATCCCCATACTTAGAGAAATATGATTGTCTGTGTGCAACAAAGGGTTTCCAATTTTGAAATAAACTGCCAAGTTGAACAAGGCTTTTAGCAAACTTGTAAATCTCTATTCTACAACTTTACTCAACCACATTTAGTATGCCTAATTTTAACGCTTTTGCCTTTCAGATGTAATAAGCTTCACTGACATAATCGATGTCTACCCAGACAACCACGCACGAAAGAACAACACCAGTTTTTGTCTCCTGCTAGTCGCTTCATGCCCACCCCCGCCAATGATGCTTTCGCCAAGACGACGGCCTCTGCCAACAAGAACACGACTTTTGTCGCTTGCAGCTCCCTCCGTTGAGGCGATGCGGGTTTGGGTGGACGCGCTCTTCACCTGTGCTGGTGCCTATCTGTGCCTACCCAACGTCAACGGCGGTGGCATCACCGGCCTCCGCCAGCACGAGAGCGAAGAGGGTTGTGAAGTCCCCTAATGCCGATCCGGACTCCGTCTGCCAATGTATTTAATCTGTTTTACTAAAATATATTTACCTACTGATCTAACACAACCACTGCCTTTTTGAGAAAGTGGTACAAGCTCCTTTTTTGAACTTAAAATATAAACTTTCTACCATTGGTGCATATTACGGCATGACCAAATCGCGTGGCTGAAAGCCCGAAGTACTTAGTCATGTAATTCGAGTACTCCTGTTAACTTACTGATTGACAATTGTTAGACCAATTATAAAAACCATTAATGAAAAGTATGACTTGTTCTTAACACACCGTCCGAATAAGTTGGCCTTAATTCATCCGTCTGCTGATTGCTTAAAGTGTGGCTGACAAACTTTAATCGTTACAACTCCCGGCAATTACCTTATCTGAAATACCCAAATAGACGTTATCTTACTAGAACGGACTAATCGAGGAATAGCTTTTCGATGTGATCTGCCAATTTCAAGTTTAAAAAGTTACAAATTAAAACAGCAAAGGCCACAACTTTTACCGAATTCGAATGTGGGAATCAAGGGTTAGACTCAAGCTTACTACATGGTATGTGAAGCAGCCCCAGCCAAGCCGGAGCTACTTCAGGGAGTTTGATTTCTGAGCGGCCACTGCGACCATTACGTTTAAGCAGTCCGTGGCGATAACTTCGGAAATCCGGGCAACTGCGAAGCGAACAGATATTTGAACCTAAGACTAGATTGATCAAAATAAAACGGCCTTAGCAGGTTTCAAACTCGCCATCCGCATAGACCCGACGTGCGGCCCAACACTAGAGAAATCCGTCAAATCGGAAGCCTTACACCAGGGAGTAGCCCCAGACACAAACTCTAAATTGGTAAAAGCCGGTCACGGACGGCCCCCAAGGAGTCAAGCACTACGACATCGTATCGTAAGGGCCTCGGAGTGCATGCACATTCCACTACACTTCACTCAGGCTCACACGCGAGCAACCGACGCCAGCCCGGTACTAGGTAACAAGATCCATTACATTTAGAACAAGATTTTATTATATACACAACTGATTCGAAGGAGCCGCGCACAGATCGACGGAACTTGATTCTAAAAAAGTGGAGAAAGATTAGAAATGTGTCAGAAACTTGAGTTATATCACAACTCATGCAAGAGGTGTTCAAAGCATCATACAAGTAGTGTTTCGTACCTTTTTAACTGAAGTCCGCACCTGTAAGAGGAAGATATAATTGACAATGGATGGATGGAGATAATCAGTAAGAAATAGTAATCAAAAACACTCATTTGAACTATGCAAAACATCATGCTTACCTGTTTTACGATACGCCAGCAACATTCCGCCTAAAGGCAAAAAGGGCTATCAAACATTGTATCAGTGTCTTAGCTTGGTATCAAGTCTATCAATAGCAGAACTGGACAGTGTCATCATAAGGAGTCGTACCATTTCACGATTCGTGATGTCCATGGCGCACACATTCCCTACAGAAAGAAGGGAATTTAAGGATCGAATTTTGGAAATCAATCAGATAGGGGCGAAATTTTAAAACATGTATGTTTCAAAAGAATTCCAATCATCACTCACACGTGGTTCATCATGGAAGTTTTTTCATCTAAAGAAAAAGAAAGTACTAAGAAAGTAGCAATCAGTGCCTTATTATGGTATCATAAAGCTCAATAGCAGAACTGGACAATATCATCATACGCTTACCAGAGGCGCCATAGGAAATTTCATGCCCTGAAAGGACAAAAAAACAATTACATGTCAGCCGAACGAGAGGGTCGTCATAGATCAGACGAAGCTTTTATACATCAGTTCAATCAAAATAATACCCGCCGTACTCGAAAGCATCACCTAAATGGCATGAAGTCACGCAGCCACGTGACCACGCCGCCAGCATCACGCGAGAAGTGGATTGTTCGTATTTACTCAACAAATACGTTAAAACAAAGTCCAATTTGACAAAATATTTTGTGGAAACCAAATCTTAACAACTTTAGGCATATTAAAATAAAATCAAAACATAAATCTGTGATTAATAGAATAAAACTGGCATCCTTTTAAAGGAATTTGCCATGATTGGCTTCTGTTTATTTTCAGAAGGAACTGTGCGAAACAATTCACCAGTGAGTCTGCAGGCATATACTTACATATTGTACAATCTCTTACAAACGTAACCATCTCTTGTGGTTTTCGGAGCGGTTTGAGAACCTGCACGGGGCCTCGCGACCGACAGTTACAAGGTCCAACCAAAAACGAGGAGACAAGTGTTACTGATTTATTGCTAGAGTATTTTTGTGGTTATGCAAAGTTATAAGTCATCAATTTATATAGGGTCAGCTGATATTGACATCTAAGTGAACATGGTTACGTTATGTGAATTTAAGTTAATCAACTGAATCTTGTTCGTTCACGTATCCTCTGTTGGCTCGTCAGTAGCCGCACCTCCATTAGTTATTCAGACTTTTTTATAAAATAATGACTACGTACACTAATTGTTAGCTTAGTCAACATTTCTCAGGACCAACGTTTTCCAAATGACTGAGATTTGTCTCAGTTTTTGACTGTTCACAACATACCCATATTCAGATTGACCACCTCTTTTGACCTAACCAAACTAATCGCTGAGTTCCATCACCCAAGATGTCCCAATGCCAGGCTGACGTAATAAAGGCACACTACTGAGTCCCGTTATGTTATTTTTCAAGGTTTAAAAATGTTTCGTTATGCGGAAGATATTCAAATTAATTGAGACGTGTTGAATTTGCTGGTAAAAGTAAAATGCACATAGCGTCCAATACAAAATTTCACTAGATATTTTTCAAATAGTTCTACCGAGGGTCAAATTGTATGCTTGTAACATGTATATGTACCACATCGCTTACTGGAGAAAAGAATGTAAGAACAGGCACAGTTGACAAGCCGATGCTGAATCAATTTTTTGAGTTTCTACTAAAGTTTTCTTTAGCGTATGAGTTTTGGTGGGAGGCCTTCGAAGTCCCGTCGGTTAGTTTTAATTGTCTACCACAATGCTTGTGATTTGTTTGGCATGCGCTTTGTTAATTATTCAGTCTTTGGTTCTTTTTCAGAAGATGACTTGAGCTTATTTAGGCAATGGTGAAATCAAATTGCGACCTAGCTGATCTATTCACATAATCGTCTCCTGTCGTTCCTTTTTAAAACTATCATTGCTTATCTGCTGGCTTTTCACAGTGGTAATAAATTTGGAGACTTCAAAAGCTCCAACAGTTAAGTCTTGCTAGCAGAACACCTCCAAAGTTTTCTTAATGTCGACACTATTCGTATTGACAAATGCGTTTGATATAACATAAGGCTTTCCAAATATTCTAAGGCTGCCTTTGTGTCCATTTTCTCGTCATTGGATGGATATAGGAGTGTATAATTCTGTCCATTACAGACTTAAAGTGCACAACCATAAAACGATTGGCATTCTCGAGCAGCACGATTGCCCTTCGAAGAGCGCCGATATAGCTTTAGCTCCTGATAACACGAAACTATTAAAATGGACAATTTTATAACTTCCTGAGTTGAACAAACGTGAGACAGAAAAGTTAAACTGACTATTACTTTAGTACAGATTACTGGCGTTTTATGCATGCCTTTTTCGTTGAGGACTAGCTTACTCGCACATTAAGCAAGCAGCCACATGGAACAAGTGATAACTCCACTTTTCTACAATTTTTAATAAGCGTTCAGAATGAAATTATTCCCATTGGCTTTGTGTTCTGCAACCTACACTAACCCGTTTGAAATTCATTAGAATCTCCAGTCACGCCGCGATTGCCTCCAGATTTCAATTCGAATTTATTTTGAAGGGATAAATTAACCAAGTCAGAATAGATTCACAGGCTTTGGTCTGCTGATTTAACTGACAAAATCAGCAAAACCATCAGACTTCGATGGCGAACCACGGAGCAGTTTGTCCACAGAAGCTGTGCCACAAGAAAAATTCAAACAACGGGTAAATCATAGTAGATGTGACAGTTATGTCAGATCATGTCTTTGATCAGGAGTATCAGTTGAAGTATCTATTATCGGTTTATTGGCTTATTCCAGTAGTCCCTCCTAAGCCACCACCTCTGGATATTATTCACTGCTTCTCTTAGGTAAACAAGTAGGTTTGCTGAAGGTAATTTGTAACGATGCCTGTTTTTATCATCTTCGACCCATTAAAACAAAACAACTTTTATGATATCTCCACGTTTTGAAATTTTGTGAAGTTGAGATTCCGAAATCCGTTAATAGGAGGATGTCTCCTGTTTTATTACAACTTGAGTGCTTCACTTACTTAAATCACGTAGTGCAAAACGCACTTGCCCCTTTCTCGACAAGTTATGTACGATTTAAACTTCGGTTTTTTTTATTTGAAGAAGCATAACTTCTAAATCTCACTTAATCCGCAGAAATTCATGTGGCTTGAGCCGTTTCACCATTACTACACAAACCGAAATTCGCCACTTTTTAACACCTCATGAGTGCTTCGTTCAAAAGCACTCGAATCTTTGAGGTTTATCTCGATTTGTGTTAGTGTCTGTCTAGCCAATGAGAGTCAATCATTGCGCTTTAAAAGTATGGTCTCACTACCGAAATCGGCATCACATAGCGGGATCCCCAGAAAATAAATCATTGACTGAGAATTGAAACAAATCTCAGCCAACCCACAAGGTAATTAAATGTCATCAGGATTGGTGTGGGAACTTAAGCTAGACGAAACCATTTTAGCAGCATTACAAGATCCTTATTTTCTCGAATTTTGTGGCTGTTAATGCGGCCGCGGGCAACCAGGATAGTTTTGAGTTAGACATTTACTTATTCAATAAACTTGACAAATCCACCACTGGAATCTTAAATTACCCCAAGATTCAGTCGCATAATAAAGCACGGATCACCTCCGAAATGACATGTACAACGTACAGTGAATTTAGCAAAATCGCAGTTTAGGCTTTTTGTTGTCTTGTTGCCTGAGTCTTCTTGGCTAACATCCCGGACTTTTTCCCGCAGTAAAGCTTAAGCGACTACAAATTCATCGATTTTCACATTGGGAATACATTGGAGTGCCCAATAAGTAACTTGTGGGGATTACACTTTGCACAATATCCAACTTTCGTTTAGAAATGAGAATCCAATCGAATCCACTGGAATTTCATTTTACAGTCGATAAGTCGTGTTTCCTTGTTGATCAGCCTAAATTAACAGCAGCGACGGTCATGGGCCATCGAGTGTCCAGAAGAATACTTTGAAACTTGCAAAAAGCTACCAAGACCAAGATTTGGTGAATTTCACCGACCTCGACATAACAACTGGTGGCATTTTAGGTATGTTAGGTCCGACTGATATCGAACACGCAAATCTTTTGTTCCAATTAAAACTGGATTCACGAGTTGTGAATATAATCTTTGAAAAACTCCGAATAAACTCGTTCCTGACAAAGAACGTAATATGGGGCAAACTTGCTCAGAAAAAACATAAGCATTTCTAAAGCACTAACATCAGAGTAACACAAATATTCTGGAGTAGGTCAATTGAGGTATCTATAATTCCGACATAGGGTTTCTTAAAACGACTACAAAACTACTCTTAACTACATATTTCGACTACACTGCATGAGTTGCAAAACACCAAGATTGGCAGGTATGCAGTTTTATATCAAATAATATAGCTAGTACACACAATCATCGGCAACGACTGCTTTAAAACAACACCTTATGGGGCTAATAGGGGTTGAGTGACTTAACCCATGCTGGGAAGATTAAGGAGGGCGTTTACACCATCTGGAAGGTAAGAGACGTTGCGATTTTTGCCTAATTGATAGGCAATGTCCTCAGCCGCTTCGATACGTCTCAATTCAATAAGACCGTCACCAGATTGACCGAAAGATTTGGCCAACATCTTTGCAGCCTCAGAATCACCCTCTGCGCTGATGACCGCTGCCAACTTCTGTTGTTCCGCTTTCTCGACAAGAAAGCGAGCTCGTTCAGCCTCCTGTTGAGCCACCTGCTTTGCTTCTACCGCTGCAGCAAACTCCGTCGTGAAAGAGATTTGGGTCTATGCAAAAGAGCAGACTGTGAATCGATGTGGGTTTCGATGAAAGGGTTTACGAATTGACCGATTGCACAATCCTCCCACAATTGGGGTTGTGATTGGTCTCTGATTAAAATAAATCAAGGCCTATTAGCCGAAAATGTTAAAAAGTACTAATTAAGACAGTAGATTAAACCTCTGAGCATCAGAGACATAAAATAAGGAATTGAAGCTTAGACACGAGGCTAGGTCGATAGGGGTGCATGCGCCAGAATCAACAACTCGCAAATGAAGTGTCTAGGGACTGAGTCCCCAAAATTGAAGCTATCAAGTACACAAAAGGGACATCAACCTGAACACCCCAGACCAACGTTGGCTCTGAAAACGGAGCAGTGGTCACAGCCACGTTGCTACCTTCACAGTAAACATTGCCGTTTAGATCTCATGAATGAAAAACATGTTGGGAGAATATATTGATGCCCGTTGTTTGTGGTGGATTCATGAAAGTGAAATGCAAGTAACACCGGAACGTAAGACGAACTTTAAAGTCATGTAGGTTTCGAATAAGAAAAAGGATCCGTGATAACACCAAGAATACGTTTACTTGTGCTAGTGGAGCAAATGTGGTGCGCTCCTGATGACAATTGACCCAGGCATTGGTTTTCTGCATAATTGTAGGATTACCTCAGAGGGTATGACCGTGCGACGAAAGGCAATTGTCAGTGTCAAGGCGTAAGAACGAATGCCCAACCATTAAAAAGACCACTGGATAAAGCATTCTTTTAAAAACCCACGATAATGTGTGCCAGCAAACAACATTCAATAGAAAAGGATTTCAGTCGAGCATTTTACAACTTACCACGGCTAGTGCGCGTTACATGCAATCTGGGTAGATTAAGTTATACTTCGTGTTAACCACAATGCAACGAGGCTTCTAGTTTAGAGTGGACCTAGGGATTCACTATCGACTTAAAAAAACCACAACAAAGCATAAGAGAGAGATAGAGTAACAAATATTATAGTTAAAAAGTAAAAGGGACTAGAGGATGAAAAGCAAAGCCCAAGGAATCAAACTTGAACCAACTTACCAAAGCAATATCATCGAGAAGAATACCGAATGAAGCAGCACGTTCCGTTAGAAAATCGTTAACCCTCTGACTAACGAGCTCTCGTTGAGTGATGAGTTCACTAGCGTCAAACTGCGCGACTACAGCTTTGAGGACCTCTGTTGTGATTGAGGGAAGGACGCGTTCTTCGTAATCGAAGCCGAGATTGGAGTAGATTTTTGGTAACAAGTCAGCTTGTGGCCGGTACAGTATACGGAGAGTGATGTTTACAGTTTGTAAGTCTAATAAATACAGCTCGTTATGCAAGGAAATTAATGTGGAGATTAAAGTGAAAGACTTAAACGTACCCTTTGAACCAGTCATGACAGGAATATTTCGGGGCTTAGAGCGGATATCGTAGATAATAGGCTTCTGGACCCACGGAATAATAAAATGGGTGCCTTCACCCACAACAGACTGTCGGACACCCTTAAACCGATCAAATATAACGGCGCGTTGTCCACCATCAACTAAAGGTAAAGCAAATAAGTAAAGCATATATAATACCGTTATAGAGCACAAGTGGCAGTATACTCCCAGCAGCTGCTAAGCCAATCCCGAACTTTCCAAGCCGAGTAAACCATTTATTCATGCTTGCGGCCATCGCAAATTATCAAGAGATAAATGACCAGAAGTGAACACGGGTACTGCAAGGAGGCCCTTTACCAAACAAATTACGCGTGAGTAGCTCTATACCACCGTGAAGGTCTAGATGATTAAGCTTGAAAATATTCTTATTAATTCATTTTAAATTAAATTTGCGTCGTAGCAAATTTTCAGATGCAAGAATTTGGTGCATAATTAGCAATAAAGTTCACAGTTATTAAGGTGCATGTAAACAAGCAAAGGGGACAAATTAACCGGAATTTTCAAAGTGATGTGTTAAAATTACATTAAGATTTGCCCTACAGAGATTCGCTAGCAGGATTTTTCTCTGAACTTTTTGCAGTGCGATTCCAAACGTAAATAGTGCGAGTCATTATCTGATTCTCTTAAATTAGCTGTGGATAAAAAATGTGATGTGTTTAGCACGCACAGTTTGGAACAATGGATTTAGTTGGGAGCTAAGCTATAAGGCTAATTGGTTTTTGTCAACGGTTTTACCCTATATTTGGCAATGAACTAAGCTTGGTTGAAATATGATTAGACAGAAGTCTATTAAAGGCGTTCAAGCCGTCCAATGGTTCTGTAGGTAAAAGTGGGAAATGAAAAACGACTACTATGAATAGGTTAGTCAGTATCTTTAATCCTAGTTTGGAATCTCTATATTTCACTAAAAATGATCATAAGGTGAGCTCAGCGCCTTTAGGATCTGACTATCGTCACCACACACACTTCGGTCTACAGATTCAAGTCGAAAGTAGCTTGTAGTGGACTGACAGCCACCTCGTGTGAGTGATGCGTGCATGAGGGCCCGAGTGGACCAATGACTTACCCCCTTTTGTTATTGGCCTCGGTCAGCAATCCCCTGTTGCTCACGCTTACTCATACGCACACAAAGCCACTTGTCTGTTTTGACACCAATAAGCGGTCGTGTTCTCTGTCATCACTTTTCCTCCTTTCCTCGGGTAGTTACGATCTGTTTACTAGAGTGTTGCAAGATAGTGCACTACAAAGTCACAAGATGCCACAATTTACTGGTCATTGATATAGACCTGATCGAACTTTTTTACTCCATTTTTGAAGTCAATGTTCGGTGATTCTTAATTTGCATTGAATTTTATTTTCAATTTGGTCCGTTAGTTGATGATGGACTTCGGAATCCTACTAATGAAAATTTTGTTGGACAACTTACAGTCTTGCGGGATCAACATTGTGTTATATTGTGCACTATATTACCAGATGGCTGCTATTCGTCACCTTTAAAGACAGAGAAAGATAACGTTTAATTAGGCGTATGTTCACAATTCATATCTGTTTGATGCTCATTATAAGCCGCTTATTTGATTACAACATATTTCGCTACAAGTACCTGCAGGCAAACGATAGATTATTTGTCTTAACCAAAGGTAGAATCAACTTGAATTTCAGACCATTTCTCAATCAAAGATCTTAGCTGTGTTTATCAAAGTGAATCTGATTCACATCTGCATCTGTCGTAAAAAAATTACTACTTTTTTTTAAAAATGTCACAATCTATTCTGCTTCAATTGATGTACTTCATAAAAATTATTCAATTCGGAACAAAATGAACTTTCGTTGGCAAAATCTGCAAAGGATCACAATATGTATTTGTCTGTTTCGATAGCAGCAATTAGCCATAATAACCATCTTACAATGGCCTCCATTATATTTTATAGTAAAATTTTTTTACAAATGACAGAAACCTGCCCCTTGATACCGTGAGTGCAGACCGTCTTAAAGTTGACCTCCCTACAACTTCTTCATACCCAAGCAACAGCTAACTCTGCAATCCCGTGCATTTCCATTCATGAATGCTTGGCATTTTGGCCAAACCCCGTGGCCTCATGACTGCTTTGAAAAATCAGCACGAAAATTGTCAATCGTTTGCCTTAAATTGAATTACATATAAGATAATTTATCATGTTTTTCTTGTTTCCTGCTATCAATATATTGTCGCTCCAAAGCACTCTTAAAGTAAAACACACTTGATCTCACAGGTTATTACCAGTTTAATCTCTGTTCTGGGTTTGTAACGAGATGTTAACTAAAAGGACTGAAAATTGAGGCAATTAGACGCAAATTAAGACAAAGAAAATAGAAGAAATAAGAAAGCCAATAACTAAAACTTCACGATTAAACACGCTTTACAGTCTCCGTACCATACTAGTCGGTAATAATCATCAATTAGTCATTTCTGGACAATTTTTCATTTATGCGAATGAAAAAGATCAATTCTAGTAAAATTTGTAGAATAATATGCTTTAGAACACTTCTTTTAGGATCATGCCAAAAAATATCTTTGTTAATTTGTAATTATAAATGAGACAAGCTAACTATCTTTATCATGATCACACACAAATTCATTCATTTTTTGGCTAATACCAGAAACAGTATTTTCTCAATTATTTTCCATTACGTCTTCAAATTTTGTAAATTAGTAACTTTTTATGATTATCTAGCTTTAATTCACACAAAAGTCAACTTCGCTTGTAAAAAATTAATTTTAGTTTTATAGAGATCTCACAGTAAATTTAGTCTTGGCTTATATTATCACACATCCTGTATACGCGGCCATATGTATTATCAATTAACGCAAAACCACTTGAGGCAGCATACTAAAATTTTTATTCATGTCTAGCTAGGGCGCAAATGAGCAGGAACCAATTGAAATGAAATGGTGGTAATTGACAAAAATCGAAGTGCTGCAAACACACGCGTGCCGTAATTATGCGCATATAATGAGATTAAATTAAACATGCAAATTAACAAACTGAATATATAGCTTTTTAAATTGTATTAAAAGACCTAAAAATCATTTTTGAGATTTTTAATACCTGACTTGCAAGTAATGAAATTTCTAAGCCTTAAATCCGTGGAAAGATCAATTAAAACGGTTCACAAACAGTTAATGATAATTTGCCTTTAGACAACTGAGAAAAGAGAAAATTCGTTATGCCTAATGCTCAAGACAAAAGCAACGCTTTTACAAATGCTGCAATAAATTTTGTAAAAATGGCTGCAATTAAAAGACAATTTTCAGTAGTATTGCAGAGCGAATAAAAAAAGTAGCCTTTTTGGACATTTGCATTCTAAAATGAACATTGTCTTTTTTTTCAATGGACATAATGTTTCTCTATTTTTTAGTACCTGCATATTATGCCTTTTTTTAATATTTTACGAATTTAGCATATTTAGTTTGGTGCATTTGACTTAAATTGATAAAGCTGCGTTGTTTCAAAATAAATGCTTAAAAAAAATACAACAAAATTTAATTAGAGTAATGGATTGAAAATAAAAAAAATTGTGTTTATATTTCCTGGAACTCAAAAAACATCCTGACCTCTGCAACTAACCCGCGGTGATTTAATAAGTTTCAATTTTAGGTTTTACGTTGCTGTCCTTTTTCACAAGAAGAAGCGGTTACGCATCGCATTCCAAGATGATGAGAAGTTGTGTAAAATAGTATTAAACTGCCCAGTAGCTTAGAAGTGAGTTTCACCTCTATTTTTTACTTTTTAATGACGTTTTTAATTGCGTTGTGGCTAAAATGTCGTCGATTTGACTTGCATAATTAAAAAAAACTGTTAGACTTCTTTATCTGTGCATTGCATTCCTTCCTTCCTCTTTTAAATATCTGGTCTATAGTTTTTTGTTCTTAGTTCTTTTATTCTTATACTTGAAAGAAAGGTTTAATTTGATATATGGATTTTGGACAATCTAATCAAAACTCGGAGGATCGATGTGTTTTTTATGCACTGTACGATTCGTTTTTTGGGATAAATGTTCTTTATCGATCATGGGTTTAGATGCAAACGTCCTCCTTGGCCCTAATTTTGAGTTCCACAGTTCTATTGGTAATCTTAATTAATTTCCAGACTTAGTGTTACCTCATAACTTCATTTTAGAGCATAAATAATTTAGCAAAGAGGTCAGTGATTCCATTTTTTATTTAAGGCATTTGTTGGTTGCATCATTTCTGTTAGTAATTTACCTTGGTAACTATTGCTCTATTTTTCGTATATTTTTTATTCTAGGCTGATTGCAATGGTGAAATCTGCAAGGCTGACTTGGGGTCTCTCTCTTTGCAGACTCAAAATTCCCTCATTTTTATTGGATACTGGGCTCGGAAAGCATGCACTTTCAACAAGTTCCATAACGCCACCTGCTGTCAGTTTTAAAGGCACTGCAAGGTGTCAACGTCACCCACAACCCTCGTTGAAATCCCCACGTAGTCAAAATAGCCCAAATAATAGCGATGATATTGAGCTGGCTCTCATTATTACTCCTTCGCAGCTAGCTTCTCACTGCACTAACGCAGGTCCACCCATTACAAGTGCCGGAGGTTAGTTTTATAGGTAGAAGTTTAATCCCTGTTAATCAAAATTTCTTTTGTGTGTGATAATTTCAGCCAGGGTAAATACCTACAGTTCAATATCCTTTTTAAATCAAAACGCCCGACAATGAAAAGACGTAAAAATATTACTTGAACCTGCGTAGTTTAATTTTTTATCACTTTGAACGTTTGAGCAATCAATTCACATTATTTAAAATTTGTTTTTCACTTAAATGTCTCATTACTTACGCGAAGTACTTAAAGTACAAGATGCTAATTTTATTTTTGATCTTTTCATACTGTCGTCTAAATTATACACTAAAAGCAGTTGTGTTCAATGGAAATGAGATATTCTTACTGTTGTCGTTTCAGTCTCAGACCCACGCATGCGGTTCATCGTTTATCTGGTCTCTCTTGCACTCAGTCTCGCCGCATTGAGCATTCTGAAACTGCACAAACTTCTTGAGTGGCTCATTATGGTAAGTGTCTCATGATCCTGTCTCAAATCATTTAGCCAATCAAAACAAGATTATCGCCTTCACGTTGCACAATTTTGCAACCAGACATTGATGCAATGGGAGTGAGCTTTTGTGCTCTTCTTACCTGCCTAACCTGCTTGTGCTATCGTATTTATTTTAGCAAGTGGC